GATTAAAGTTCTCTCAGCGCTGCGCATGCGGATCCTATATGAAATAGAACAATCCTTGACTAAACTTGTTCTCACGTTTCTTATTATTATTGCACCTAGTGAAACATTTTCTTTTCATTCATAAGGAATGTTTAACCTCAACAATATAAGGGATGACGTTTGCCCCAATATGTTAGGATAACCTTCAGCATTCCACACATTTTTCAATGCTCCTTGACGAGAGGATATATATGCACTGATTACGTGCACACCATGCATTGACTTTTGTTTGCTGACCTACTGCTCACCTTCCTACATGGGAAAGCACTCTGCACGTTTCAAATGTAGAGAAAAATAAATACATTCACATCAAGACTACAAAAAAAAAACACTTAACACTTTGCTCTGAAGACTGCGGCTTGCTGCATCAGATGAATGAGTGTATTTGGAGACCCAGAGCAGTCATTTGTCCAAACATAGAGTCCCAGTTGTCTGGTCTGGTCTTATCGGCCTCAAACAAGATCATAAAAACAAATGTAGCCGCTAGCGGTTGTTACAGATTCAAGCCCTTTTTCACAACAGAGAGAAGCAGGTCAATTGCCAAAATCAAAGCCAAGCAGGTTTCGCGCTTCACAAAGCTGAGAAAAATCACTTCAGCTGGTGTCTCTTGGAGTGAGACCAATCACACACTTGTTTCATCATCACAATGTAGGCAGCCTTTCAGTAATTGCACTCTCAAAGCCCCGTCATGTTTCTTACAATTTGGGGACAGGCTTTAAAAGCCTAATTAAAAATATTCACTAAAATATTGGGATGTTTGGACAAATTGTTTTGGAAATAGTGGCATCCCATACTGAGCGATTTCAACAGTCATGCTGCACATTTTGTATGGATTGGACAGACAATTTCTGATTCATAATCTGGTTTGTGTTAAGCAAAACTCATTTTTTTGCATTTGTAGTGCCCCTTAGCGGTCAATCCATATCCTACAGGTTTTGTGGTGATTGGTGCAACAGTTTTTCACTTTACTCTAGCTAGGTGCTGAGCCACGTCCTTTGAATTTTGTCAATATCTGAAACACTATGTAAGATTTCAATAAGCTTTTGATAAGCTTGTTCCAATAATAATCCACAGGAGGAGACCTCAGAAAATCTAGTTTGGCAGATTTATGTCGAAGAGGCTTTGACATTGAGTTGGACATGAGGGTCAAATCTCAAGTCACTGGATGGATGTGACTTTGGTTTTGGGCATTAATTACAGTGCCACCATGTGGCCAATTGGAGTTATATTTCTTGGGAAAGACATCATTTCCAGTTGGGCAAGTAAGTTTCATGTTTCTAGCTCACAGGAATTTGAGCCGCTGCGGCAGACAATATATAATAATAAACCGACAAACTCAACCTAATCACCACGTGAGCATAATACAGCTTTTAAACCACCAAATACAAGAGATCCGTTGGGTTGGTGTGGATATATACAGGATGTCAAACTGATTTAGCAGTGAAAACAGGTTACAAAGTAAAGGTAGAAGTTAAAGCTACAGGTCACAGTGTTAAAGCAAACAAGCACATCACCTGGCAATCGAGAAAGAAGACAATGAAATAAAGAAGCTACAGTGTTCCTGTAAAGCCGGGTTTTTATTCATATGTAGACATTCAGTATACCTTCATTAGCTAACGTAGCATACAAATGCTAACACTAGTAAATAATGTGCTATCGTACTCTACCAATGTTAGCGCCGCAGATTTTTCCGGAGAAACATAACATTTTAGAAACGTATATCTCCTTACAACCTCTCTGTACACTGAAAAAAAAAAAAAAAAGTGACATTTACTTGAAAAGTGCTAGGTAACAATTTGCACTCAGAAATTCCGAGTAATTTTTACTCAGGAATTCTCAAGTTAAGTTTACTTACTAGTAAGAATTGTTTTATCCAAAATTTAAGTAACTTTTACTCTGTCTTCCTTAGACATAAAATGTACTTAGCCTTTGATAGTAATCTTTACTCAGGCTACCTTTGCATCTAATTACAAAACCCCAGTAAAACTCAATTAGGTGTTTCATGTATATATAACTAGCTTTTCTTTTTCAATTGAGAAATATTAAGTAATATTTACACAATATATCTTTTATCTACTACTACTCTACACAACTGTTCAAATATGAATGTTGCATTTTTTTTAAACTGGGCTACTGTTAATTTAATAACATTGTCTTAACATAAGGCTTCTACAAAACATCTTCTTTTAAACTACAGCAGCTTTACTTGTTAACTGGTGAAAGAGGTCACTGCTGACAGACGCACACAAATACCAACATATATAATCTGGTTGGCATTGCCAGACAAAACATTTCTAAATCAGTGCTGCCAATAAGAAATTTAAGAACACAAACGTTTAGTCATTTAACAAACACTTTTAATTTGAAACGATGGGTATTGCTTGACAACACTTAGATACACAGATGAAGCCCATGAGCAGAAGGCAAGCCTTTGCCACACTTTGACAGTCATCAAGAACCTCTTTTCCCTCTGACGACGAACACGATTGTCAGGAGTGAAGCCTTTCTGTGTTGCATTTCCATGGATGACAAGGATCTTCATGACATGTTGAGCATAGTCCTCTTCAATGACTTCTTTGAAATTCAAATTTACTAATGTTCACTTTTACATCTTCGAGTCTGATGTGGTCTCAAAAAATGACGATAGTGGGGGAAACTAACAAAAATATTGAATGTGTTCAAATGCGTCATTATGTATCTATTCTCAGTGTATATGAGCCCAACATAATTTTATATAATATTAGATATCTAAACTTTACCAGGCTGGGTGATTCCAGCATGGGTCTTTGTTCCTGCAACTCCGCCCTTTGTCCCAAGTATCTCCAGAAAGTTGGTAGTGCAATTGTCCAACTTCGACAAAAAGTTTCACTCCAGATGAACTGTGGTTATTCTTCTGAACTCCTCATTGATCTGAAACAAAAGACAATAAAAAACATGATCAAGATGAGGTACCTTGCTAAAACAATGAATGCAGTAGTCCTCCCAGTATAATGTACTATTGACAGCAACACAAACTATGACTTCAAATGTATATGTCAAGTTAATTAAACTATAACAATACTAAGTTGATTTTACCTTGTGTCAACTGTTGATGTCAACTTGCTGAGAGCGAACGTCCTTTAATACTCTGTGAAATATATAAAGAAATTATGTTAAAACATGAACTCACAACATTAAATCTGAATTTGGCTTAAATCTTCATATTGATAGCATGTTTTATCCCCACACAGAAAAACAGCACATAAACAAGCCAACATAACATTAATACTGAGATACACAGCAGGCCTGGTCATGTTGATATGCGACACTAACTCAACACAGTACTGGTACCTTGTTTCATGGCCAAAGCCTTAATCATCAAGGACACCACATTGGATAGAGACAAGTTTAAAACTAATGACAGAAATATAAGTTACTTTAAAAATATGTCAGAATATGATAGTGACAAAATAATGTTAAGTGTATTAGACTCGCTCTAAAGTCACTAATTCCACCACGTATGGGATATTTTTTAGCACATGACCAGAGTGCTTGTTGCTGCTTAGCTATGATTCCCTGTCTTGTCACATTTCCCTCATTCGACCTCGGCTGCACTTGAGGATGTCCGAGAGAAAGCACGCTGTGCGTGTGTCGCAGCACAGCAAAGCACCTGTGTGGCAGAAGTGGGCTTCACAAAACCAAAGTAATTCCCCCTCCCCCTCGTCGACTGAGCGCAGCTGGTCGAGCACCGTGTCCCCAGGCCAACAACTTTTCAAGGGAGAACCCTGTAAAATCGTGAACAAAACCACCAAAAACATGTCCACAAAATGTTGCGCCGTGAGCCATGTCTGTAATGCTGTCCCAAGTTAGCTAGCATGATAGCCTAACTAGCTAGCACGCTAAACTGACCAGTTCGCTACTCTTCAGTGTTCACAACTCAAACACAGACTTGACCGAAGGCTGAACAGCAACGTAGAGCATTAATTAAACATATAACCTACCCCAATGGCTCCCGTCCATGAAGTTCCTCTCCTCAGGTGAAACGCTGCCGTCCTTGTTCAGGTTCTGCTGTTCCGTCGTCTCGTTGAAGAAAGGAGCGCGAAATCTCCTCTAACGTCACCCCCTGAGTACGCGCTATAGGTTGCCAGGTTTTACTCGTATTACCCAAGTACATTTTACTTTGTTGTGTCAGGTAGTGCATTCAATACAGTAGTTTAGTAGCTATTACTTAGTGTGAATGATTAAAATGTACTTATAAAAATGAGGATACATAATTACAAACAAACACCAAGTAACACATTAAATAAAAGGTGATATTTTAAAGTAAAAGCACTGGAATGATAATTTCTTGTAAAATTTACAAAAATAATCGAGGTAATAATTACAGGGCCAAAAAGTCTTTTTTTTTCAGTATAACGAGTATCTCTATTACACAACGTTTAACCATGACGAGCCCCAAATCCACTCAACCTGGTTGGTTGGTTGAGTGGATTTGGGGGTAACCCTAACCAGCCTGATAGTGGAGAAAATCTAAAACGACTGCACAAGCCTACGGAGCAGAGCTGTGATAGTCGTTAGACCCTGGTCAGAGCTGGACGATGTTACGCCATGACTGGCAAGGACTTAGTGAAGGTTCAACTGATTGCATTTTTCAAGTAACTTGCCCAATTCTGCCATGCAGTATAATATTCAGCTTGACAGACATGATGATAGATGGCATTCTAAGAGAAAGGCTTATTATCTCTATTATCTCTTATCTCTAGTCTGCCTCGGGCTCCCCTCTCTCCACCAGCCAGAGGCTTGTGTTGTAAAGACACACAGCTGGGTCAGATATCCAAGTCAAACTTAAAAGGAAAGCTGTGTGCAGAGTGCAAAGAGCCACAGTCTTCTGTGAGGTCCTCACCTTCCAGGCTGTGCAGGGTTCAAAGCAACAACAAACAAAGAAAAAGGAAGGGAATGATGTGCCACAGACTTGGGTTGCAATCTTTATTATATTCTGAATGGTTTCAACTCATGCCAGCACCAGGGATTTGTGCCACTTTCACGCAACACAGAAATGCTACCATCAGCATAACAGACACTTCACTGAGAGCAACCTCTGTTACACTTTGCTTTGAAGTCAAGCCTCAATACACTGTGTGTGACTCAAGTGTGATTTGAGTCCAAGTCCCAAGTCTAAGTCCCCATCTCTACTATACTGTGGTAATGTTAACTTGTCAGGGAGTCACCAAAATATTCAAAGCATGCATATTCTGTAGTTTCAATAGTTTGATCCTGAAATCAACGAGCAGATACAATATATGACCCACAAATCATTAGTGTTATCCCGCCTACTGTATATATGTATTGGAATTACCGGAAAGCATGATATCATTATGGACATATTGTTCAAGGACAAGTGTCAGTGTCTCCTTATATGAACTCAGTATGGATGTAAAGGGAGTCTCTGATCAAACTAACCAAACATGGTTGATCAGAGACCATTTATCCAGGCACATCAAGTCAGGGGCAATTTCATTTGAAATGCTTTAAGTGTAACTTCACCCACAGGTGCAAGCCTAACTCCACCCACCCCATCATTTTGAAAATGCTAAACAAGGTGGTAAAAGGGGTTTTCAACCAATGAAATACAGATTTTTATACATTTGGAAAGAAATTCAATATTAACAATGATATAGCCAATATCAACACCAGCAGTGATGCATTTCATCACAGTAGTCATATCATTGAGTTTGCAGGTCGAAAAACACATGTAAGTGTGCAGTACATCTTTAAATAAAGCCAGATGTGCATCAGAATATTTCAAACATTAAGCAAGACATCAATGTGCTTCTTTTGTCAGACTGAAACGGAATAATGGGGGGCACTTTGCTGATGCCCATCTGACAACAAACCACTAGTTCTATCTGTCACTCTTAACATCTCTAGGCCCTGATCAGACAGTTTCAGCAGCCTGATGCAGCATTTTGTAATCACTTTCAACGAGTGAAGCGTTGTGCGCACTGCTTTTGCATTGCCGAGCATTGCGGGATGTTTTTCCGCTCTATGCGTCTTGCATTTTTGCAAGAGTGCCCTGAATGCCTCACGCTGAGAAAGATTAGACTCGGAGCGGAAACAAGGCCCAACTTCAGTGTGGTGATTTTTGTTGGATACCCAGAGCTGTATAACTTCACCAACCATAGTTATCATGATCAGCCTGAAGTGAAAGTAGCGTGGTATTTAAGAATTTGGGTAAATTCTTTTCATTAATGTAAACTGTACTATTAACTATTAGGAAGCTTTCAGTTCATGGTTTGTGTTGAGCTAACATTAGCACTCGCCAAGCAACAATAAAAAAAATCGGATATAAAAATGGCAGTGCTGTGCGCCTCACGTTTTCCACCTGCACAACATGCTCTGTCTGGTCAGGGCCTTAAGGCCTTTACACACCGGGGGGTGTAAAGGCCAGTTGTTTTTGTCAAAGGGAATACTTTTACACAAAATATGAATATTACGCAGCAAAAAGACGGTCAGGTTTTTTTCTCGCCTTTGCACAACGAATAAAGGCATGAACCAATCACGTTGTGTGGAAGAGGATGAGTTGCTCCTATATTCATAAAACAATAACACAAAATTTCGAACTGTGTTACTCCTTTCAACCTTGACAAAGGCAGAGCATACCAGATCTTACCTTTCACAATAAAAGCTCTAGTCATATAATATTCGCAGGCGAGTATTCAGCATTTTTGTGTCATGTATTCGTCACGCCCCCGGTGTGTAAAGGTCCTTAGTGTGCAGATGGTCGGTTGATTGGGGAAATAGTTAGAGGCTCAAACATTACAAGAATAAACAGACAATACATATCGTGCCCCGTACATTTCCTGTGTGGTACATGGTAAGTTTCTTTACTTGACTGGGTTCTTTACCAGAGGAATGTTGATTAGCATGATCACATATATAATTCTACATACAACATCTTATTATACACCTTTATTGTACATATACGTATTGTACGAAAATATAATTTAGAGCCTATATATATTGAAACACATTTCATATTCACAACACTTGGATACAGCTTAATAAAGGTCCCTTTACCTCCAATAAATCTCACGGAAAAGTGGAGCGTTTCACTGAAATGCTTTCAACGGTTACTGTTGAAACTAATGGAACAACCTAATAAAAAATAAAATAATATATTGGACGTTTCAGTGACTGCGACAAGTTGTGAATTCTTAAAGAATGTAATGTTTTAACAGCATGCGAGGTGGTGGAGTCGGATGGCAGACGCTCTTAAAGTGGCCTCCACATCACGCGGCATGGACACGTGTGAGCTCTACCAAAGTCTTTCATGGTGGACACAAGTGGGCCATGTGAACCATTCCTCAGCCGTGACCAAATAATGAAAAACATTGTCCACACCTGCTGAGCAGACACAGGCTGTTTTTGTGCAAGTAGCTTTGCGGTTATACCTCCGTCGGTCTGGTGACCAGGCACTGAGCAATAAAGGGATGCCTTATGTAAAAGACAAGTCATGTCCATTTTCTAGATCAAGAGCATGTCACTTATACGTCCATTTCAGGCCCACTGCGCAGAGATGCTGTCCTCTGGTCTGTCTTAGGCGCTGATAGGGCCGGCCTCTTCTGCCTGCTGGGAAAGAAACACAGACACTTCAGGCCATGTCTGATCAGGTGCTGCTGGTTTAGTCATAGTTCAAAGAACAACATAAACCAAAGGAACAACCTTTATCCAATTTTGAAAGTATTTAAATGAAAAGGACTGCATGTGAGCAGGTAGAATCTGTGACTCAAATCATTAATTGATGTCTATTAATTATACCTTACATTTTGCTCCAAACATGTATATTTTATAAACTCTAAACATGCACCGTTCAGCAGCTGAGAGTTTGAGAAGCACAAGCAAAGATTGTGAAGCACCTTTATATTAGTTTAATTTAGATCATTAGGCCTCAGATATTTCTATCTGACATTATTTTATTTGGTCTAGGAACATCAAACTCATTTACATCTGGGATGGTATTGGAGACCACCCTTCAGCTTCTACGTCCACAGTCGAAGAGGTGTAGACGAGAGAAAGTAGAGCTTTCTTGAGAAAGGGGGTGCAGCTTTATGCAAAACCACTCATCTGGATTATTTTATTCAACCTCATACTTTACAGAACTTACTTTATACTAGTTACTTACAGATTAGTTTTAATTATTCTTTATTTGAACTCGGTGCTATCTCAGCCGCAACATGATGTCAAATAGTTTGATACGAATCGCTGAATTAAACCTGATCAATTAAAGATTGAATGAATCAAAAAATGACACGACATATATAGACCTACCCCGCTTCTGTTGGTCTGAGAGATGTGGATTATATCACAGTTGCAGGCAGACAGCTTGTTATCCCTAACTATGACTAACCTTTATAGACTCAGATGTTTTTAATATATATATATATATATATATATATATAGATATATATATATATATATATATAGATATATATATATATATAGATAGATATCTATAGATATATATAGATATCTATCTATCTATCTATCTATCTATCTATCTATCTATATCTATATCTATATACAGGGACTTACTAAGACTAGGACTAACATATCAAGGAAACTTTTATTTGAGTTGTGTATTATAATTGGATGTGTCCTCAGGAATGTGGTTGATCTTAAGCGCACAGATGGGGTCACATAACATGGTAGACTCAGTCTTAACGGTCTAAGTGTTAAACGTGACCCCAACTCCATCTGGACTCTGTCCAGACACACAGAAACAGAGAGTCTCACCACTTAGTGACCTATGAAGGGCAAGAGACACCAGTTCCTGACAGAAGTTTATTAGTTCAGATTGTGTCATAGACATTTCCGTTTGATAAACTCTCCTCGGATGTCCGCTACACTTTTTAACATAAAATGAAAGGATAGGGTCAGATTTGTTCATATCCGTCTTTATATAATACTGTCATGCCCATTATACACTGACAGTCATTGACCGAGGACTGTCCCCATCTCTTATATTGGAGCTGGATTAGTCGGGGAACACAGGAGACAGGAGAGATGATTAGTGTCCAGCAACTGTCCGTATTGTTTAAAGATGGACTTGTAAAACTTGGAACCTATCCTCTCACTGGTATTGGAGGATAAACATTGTTACCAGCAGGTAAATATATATGATTTACGCCCGGGGCCACACTGCCTGCACGGGCAGCACGTGTGCATTGCAGAATCTTTTGACAGTAGACTGGCCATCACACCAGCGACATCACTACAGTTCCAATGTGAACATCTGTAGAATATGTCCTAGACATGAAAGATTGTTTCTTATTCAAAATAAAAAAGCACTGTAACGTTTTGTTTTCAATGGACAGAACCCCTTCATTTGATTACATAAGGCTTTTATTCTGAAATAGTTGCAGGACACTGTAGTGGAAAATGCAGTGACTTGCACGACATTAATAGAGTACCGGCTTTTAATTGTGGATTATTATTATTATTTATGATGTATTTTATATACACTGCCGTTCAAAAGTTTGGGGTCACTTAGAAATGTCGTTGTTTTCCCTGAAAACATACATGAAATGAGTTTAAATAGGAAGAAATGTCATTGACAAAGTTGGAAATAATGATTTTTAATTTAAATAATACTTTCAAACTTTTCATTCATCAAAGAATCCTCAATTTGCAGCAATTACAGCCTTGGCATTCTAGCTGTCAATTTGTTAAAGTAATGTGAAGAGATTTCTCCCCATGCTTCCTGAAGCACCTTGCACAAGTGGGATTGGCTTGATGGGCACCTCTTGCTGCTCCCACAACAACTCAATAGGGCTGAGATCCGGTGACTGTGCCGCTCCATGACAGACAGAATACTAGCCGACTGCTTCTTTGCTAAATAGTTCTTACATAGTTTGGAGCTGTGCTTTGGGTCATTGTCCTGTTGAAGGAGGAAATAGGTTCTTTGTTTCTGGCTATTTTGAGCCTGTAATGGAACCCACAACTGCTGATGCTCCAAATACTCAACTAGTCCAAAAAAGGCCAGATGTATTGCTTCTTTAATCAGCACAACAGTTTCAAGGGTTTTCTGATGATCGGTTATTTTGTTGAAATGATCAACTTGCATTAGTAAACACAGCTTGTCATTGGAAGACAGGATGGGCCTCTGTATGCCTATGTAGATATTTCATTAAAGATCAGCTGTTTACAGCTACAGTAGTCATTTACAACATGTCTACACAATATTTCTGATCAATTTGATGTTATTTTAATGGACAAAACATGTGCTTTTCTTTCAAAAACAAGGGGATTTCTAAGTGACCCCAAACTTTTGAACGGCAGTGTATATCTAATGTATTATAGCAATGTGGACACCACACGGGGGCAAGCTACAGCAGTTCAGCGAGGGAGCCGTCGTACGCTGCTCACGCATGCAGTGTGGCCCGGGCACCTGCATGCCAATTCCATGTGTGTTTTCAATGAGTGTTAACTTGTTGAGGACACATGTCCCCTGTTGGTATCGCCTAAAAAGAACAAACACTTGTGAACATTGCATGTTTTTTTCTCCCCCCGTGGTAGACTTACCTGTCCAAGCAGAAGCGGCTGCAGTGAGAGTCGGTCTGCTGTGTGCACACACAGCGCTGGGCCACCTCCCACCTCCTCCGCTGATCAGCCTCAGTGGAGCGTCTCCCACGCAGGGAGCCCTGGTAACTGGACATACCGTATGGTACAGTGTACCTACAAAAAGACACAGTGCGCTGAGTGACCAGACAGATAGGAAGCCCTGTACATTAGACTGACCACAGACTACAGTTTTTACCAGGCTTATAATGTTTAACACAGCGTCAGAGAGAAACAAATGGAACTCTGTGATGATTTTAGAGGCTTCTGTCAGTGGCAGACAGTTTTATACTGGACTCATTATATTGACAGTTGTTTCTAATAGTTTGTCCTCCACCATTGGGACAGAATATAGGAAACACCATTCAGAATAATGCACTCCAGTATAACAAAACAACAGACTGCAACATCTAACTTAACTACTAAAATATTAAAATAGTTTCTACAACTATTTAGCATAAGTTTTGCAATGATGATTTATCCCACAACTGTTGGATCTATAGATTGTAAAGGTGTACCTACTACACTAAAGTCAGTGTGTTTTGACTTCAATACATGTTTGAAAGTAATCGCCAGTAAAAGAAAAACAAGTTCAAAGTTTGAAAACTCCTTGAACTCATGATTCATGTTGTATGATGCCAGTAAAGTAATACGTGTCTATTTCAAAAACCCCACTACAACGCCGACTAACATCTGGCTTTTGTCTTCGTTGTAAAACACACTTCATTCAAATGACAGAAACGATACAACTCATCAAAACTGTCTCCGTTAGTCTTTCTACCAACTCTGGTTTGACAGTTTGAAAGAGAGACGGAATAAGTAAGAGATGTAAAAAGTACCACCACAACATTTCTACTGTTTACTAACCCGGTTTCCGGTGCATCCGTGACATAAAATGTGACACACCAGGGAAAAAAACAGTCTAACCTGTAAGCCTGTTGTTAGAGGGTTTACATGTGTTTAAAAAAAAAAAACAGGTATACATGCTGCTTTCGGTGGAAAAGTGGAATATCAGCCCCACTGTGATTTAGGCTGATTTGAACAAAAAGTAAGGCATGAGCAAGGCTCTGTTTTACTGTATATGAGCATTCATATGGTACAGGATATTGGAGGATTGCTTGGTATGTGTAAAATCGAGATTACTGCCTATTCTTTGTGGCCACTTATGGGTATTGTAACATATGAATCTCAGGTCTATAGATATTTGTATCTATCTACCTCTCTTATCTTTTTTGGGACAACAATGTCATACATACAACTTTCTTCAGAGGTGAAACTGAATTTAAGTGCACCCAAATGTTGGTAATAATTCCTCATTGTGCAATAAAAGTGTTAACATGCACAACTAGGGCAGGTAGAGTAGGTCAAAGCTGGACAGTCCATTAGCTATTCTAGTCTGGGTAATAATGGTACCATTCCCTTTTTTTCTCTTCAAAATAAGTCTGAGTATCTTGACAATGTTGGGAATAACATAGCCTCAAAAAGGGGGCACCAAGATGTTGGGAACGTAAAGGAGCATGTTTAGGTTATCAGCATCTAAGAAACTAAATTCTTGACATCAATAGAATTATTAATGTCAGTAACAATTATTAATGATCATTAATAATAACGGGGCACCACCCTGCGAACAGGGACCAATAACCAAACGATAAAACTAAGTCTCATAATTAGTGTTCACTCGCAATGTCAATAGTCTGAGTACTATTACACATTCAGAGTGAAAGTGAAGGTTTAAGTTCGAGCACAGACCACATATACAGCTATTATCACAATACACATGCACAAAGTAATCACAGACAGCTGCTCTTTAAAATATAACAGAGTTTATTACATTCTAATACCAATGATCTAGTCAACTAATATCTAAACTAACAACAACTATACATTCATGAGCACGCTATCTAAAATCAACAGACGATTGAAAAGAAGGGGGGGGGGGGAAGTGTGTGTGCGTGTGTATGTGTGCGTAAGGGGGAGGAGCGAGGGAACAGCTCAGCGACGTATGACGTATTTGGGACGTAGTGACGTCTCTCATGCGTGAGACTCAAAAATGGCGGATAGCCAACAGGAGACCTGGCGTCTATACGTGCCGGTAGCCGTTTAGCACGTAGCTAGATTAACTCAAAGCTATATGTGTGTGTGGGGATTAGTAAACGAGAAGGGAAAGGAACAAAACAAAATGAAATAAAACAAAAGATTAAGATCCTTCGCGCCGCGCTGGAGTACGGAAGATTGCGCTCTCAGCCAGGGGAGCAAGAACCGCGACTCTTTGTCTCAGCCGGCGGTTCTGACCTCCTGAACTGATGAGAAGCAACTTCGACCTCACTAGGCGGCTAGCTCAACACAGATCACGGTAGCATGAAATACACTAGCTTCTCCACAACCCCAACGATCTCAGCGACCGTTAGTGTCGGCGATTATTAAGCATACACCACGTTATAAAAATGAACAGTACTTTAAGCACACAAACAAGATAAAATAAACACAAATGAACCCTCTAAATCTGCCCAGAATCTATTTCGCCTTACGGTACGATGCAATCGTGGTGACTGAGGGGGGTTCTTCTGAGGGGTTCTTCTGAGCTTCGGTGGGCTCAGGCAGCGCGGCTGTGGGCCGCGGGAGGTGTTCTCTCGGTGAGAGAGAATCGCTTCGTCTGGATAAGGGATTTTCGCGTCCTTATGGCCGGAGCAAACGAGGCGCTTGGTGGAGAGTGGAAGTTGTCTCTCTCTCTCTCTCTCTCTGAAGAAGTCTTGCTTCTTCACTTCTGTAGGACTAAAACGGGGTTCACTTCGTGGATACGAACAAAGATAAAATAGACAGCTTGGTGAATTCGGCCAGCGAATATAAACTGTTAAACCTAGGATTTGGTTGAAAAGGGAAACAACGTTGGTGTGCTCCCTAGCTTGACGGAGGTCGAAGGGAAAAAGCATTGAGGTGGGGGTTGCAGGTAGTTTTGTAGAACAGTGGCTGAACCACAGGGGTCCTGGGGTGTCTTGGCTCTCGGCCAATTAGATTGCAGCGCTGCTTTCAGGTAACTTCAGGGAAGCATAGTTTTTTTGGGGGAGCAGGGTCGTCTGACCGGAGGTCCCGCCTCGGCATCCCTGCTCTCGTCCAATGAGAGCAGTGTTGCATTTGGGGGGAGGAAACTCACACCCTAATGTGAATTTCTCCAGAGTTGGGGGGTTTGGTGCTCAAACTACAATCAGGATGAAACCTTTGCTTGCAAAAGGGAAGGCCTGACTCTCTTTGTTCCACAGCACATGTCGAAGCCATATAGTCAGATCCCAACAACAACTCCCTTATTGGGTCAGCTGGAATACTTTTCCTCTGCGTCTCTTCCCCCATTGGACTTGTGGATGCTGCCACGTTTCCAGGTCTCAGCAGGTAGCTTGGTGAGCACAGGAGCACAGGAAGGAGAGATGCTTTGCTGCTCTCACAGCATGCATGTGGTGAGCTGCTCACATTGACTCTGCCCTTAAGTCTTGTTATTTTCTCTCCACATGGCTGTAAAGTGTTATGAAGAACAAGCTAACCAAAATGAAAAAAAAGTGAACATCACAGTGAACTAAAACCACATGGCACCACCTGCTACCTTTGGAGTACAGCAGTGGTTCTCTTGAACAACCTGGGCAATCAAACCCTGATGGTGTTGGAGGATCTTCAGGCGAACCCAGAACACCTCATCAGTGGCGAAGGCAGAAATCACAGCGAGGGTGGGCGCAGAGAACATCAGGTAAATGGACTTACAGCGCCTTTCTAGTCCTCCGCTTTGACGCTACATGTCATTCTACCATTCATACACTGATGGCAGGGGCTACCATACAAGGTACCACCTGCACACCAGGACTAACTAACTCATTCATACACCGCACGCACAGCTTACGGGAGCAATTTGGGGTTAAGTATCTTTCCCGGTGCCAGGGATCGAAGCGCCGATCTACCACAGCGGCCCAATCCAGCCCATCCAAGACCAACACATATGACATATGAGAAACATATGTTAACCAAAAAACGCCATTACGACTATACTTGCCTGAATGCACGTCATCATCAGAGGTAACGTTAGGCACCAACATGAACATTAACAACGTCTCACAGCCTGGCACAGCGGCCACATATTCACACACAGGTGACAGACGCAACAGCATCATTAATCAAGTGTATGGACAGAGGTTCACCGGCACCAACATGCCCAGTAACGTTAAAAATTACTCTTTAACATTGTGGCCACATAAACCACATAGATGGGAGCATACATCAGCATAAAACATCAGCATAAAACATCAGCATCCATCCATTATCCGTAACCTCTTATCATATTCAGGGTTGCGGAGGGGCTGGAGCCGATCCCAGCTGTCATTGGGTGAAGACTACTCCCTGGACAGGTCGCCAGACTATCGCAAGGCACCCATTAAACAATGTATTGAAATAGGCCACTACAGTCCTTACATTATAGATTGGCTTATTTGTAATGATTACAGCAGAAAACAAGGGGGCTTGACGTTGAACACTGACATGATTTCATCATAGTTTCCTTCAATGGAGAGCAGGGTCAAAGAGTTCAGTCCGTATGATGACCTGATGCCAGTTTTTATCCGACTGACAGTCGTTCAACAGTACAGCAGCTTGTTATGGGGAACCTTTGGGTGACCAGGGGCCACATGTCTTTATTACTTGGCTCTTGTTGAGGAGAAACCGGCGCAGGAGTCGGTCTTGGTAGAGAGTTGAGCAAAAAACATGTTATGAATTGCATTAGGGATTTGAGGCCACTGTCAAATAACCTTTAATACCTTGTTATAATTACTGTTAACATATGACATTGATAGTGGCAAACCCCTGACAAGTGAAATGTTATTTGTACTATCCCTCTAAATGCCGGGATTGCCTTCACTTATTACTCTGAAAAGGAATAAGCTCATACAGAGAAAGGATGGATCAGATTATATTGCCATGTGTGCCTGCGGACCAAATGGTATTGAGCAAAAGAATGCAATGTGCTTTTCTCACAGTTTGTAGTCTCTTTTGAACGCACTGCAAAACGTGCTCCCCTTTCAGGAGATTAAGGATTTTGAGGCAGGTTCTAAAAGGATCTGGCTTTGTTTAGCCAGTATCTGTTTAAGCATGACCGTTTATCCTGGAGTCCTCCTGTTGGAGGACAACATTTTGCACACTGATATAGAGATATCTGACTTTGTACTTGGCTTGCATATATCAATCATATATTTTTTTACCGATCAAAATTGTTGTAACTTAACTCCACAGATTTTACACATGAAGGTTGGTTTACTCAGTCAGCACTACTTAGCCTGGGGCTCTGGAGGAGCTTTCTAAAGAGAAAATAACCCTGCTGATGATATCAAAGTGTTGCAGAAACTACTCATCTTGGACAGACAGTACCATTTTTCAACCTCAACTTAACAGTAAATGATTTCTAGCAATCATTTTGCCAAAGGGAAACTGCAAACGAGGTAAATGAGAAACGGCACGACCTTTTCTGACACTCTGTCTTTCTGTCTGGAGGGCAAACCCGACACCACCTTGCTGTGATTTATTTTGTGAAGCTGCACCAAGAGCAGCATCAATCACATTTAATGATTTGTGATCGCCAGCTGCTGATAAGCTACACATCTGAAGGCATTTCTGCATTGGAATCTTAGGTCTGATCTTTACTTTTCAACTTGAGGTGGAGGTCAAAGGCCAGACACACCCAACCAACATCGAAGAACTGGCGGCGCTAAAGGCCGACTGTCAAACAACGGCCTAATAGGACGTACGTTCTGCATCTACCTGAGAGCAAAGAACTCTCCATACCAGGTGGAGGTAGTCTGTTCTCGGCATTCAAACCGGTCTACTGGGAAACCGGAAGACCTATGCGGATACACAAGGTGCTGTGAGGATACAAACGAAGCAGCATTTGCTGACCTTTTTTTACAGCCCTCTCACTTAGCTTGTTTCCAGATAGCCATGTTGTTGTGAAAATGTCCGCGTATCGGAATGATCAGAGGAGATGAACAATGAGAGGAGCCTTCTCTGTGTGCCCTCTTGTCTTTACTTGTTTGCTTGCTTTCCTCACCTCCCTTTCTCTTCTCGGGCACTGATTCGCTGAAGCTGAGTAGCCGATCGGAGTGACTTCTCTCACCACCGGTCTCCGGCACCCATTCAACATGATGAATCAGCCAAAAAAGCCTCCGACAAGGGCAGACTAGTGTCAACGGTGCAAGACACACTGCAACAATTAGGGCGCCAGACGCTCACCAAAAGCCCGACATGTCACGTGGCCCTAACACTATAACCCCAACCTTATACCGGCCTCGAAAGACTGTGGAGATAATAAAACTTCCTTCTGTGAGCTTCCATAGTTTTCATGAATTTAAAAGCTTTTATTGGTCTTAAAAAAGTTGCTTGCTAACAAATGTCTAAATGAGACGACTAAACGTCCTCACTAGAACACTAGTCCTCCTTAAGCTTAGTGGTGGTGACGATAAGTCATGTGACCGTGGCGTAGTTAGTTTATAGCCTCACTTTAGCGTTTTACTTTACCGATTGCAAGGAGTTTATTTGTGAAGATTATCTTGCTGAACAAAACGTGTAAGTATCATAAACGTTTGTTTGCCACAGAGTTTATTCTCTGCAATAATTCAAAATCCAATGGAGAAATCTAATTGGCTTTTTATGGAGGGAACCAGTGTGATGCTGACAGAGATACCTACAACAATACCTCATTGCTGCAGATCTTTATTCTGCAGTTTTTCCTCTAGCGCTAATTAAAATAGATATAACTGACATTAGGAACTACATCTAAATCAGTGACTGTAATACACACGATTTATATGTTGCAAAAGAATACTGAAAACTGATGATGTTTGAGCATACTGTTCTAGTACCGAGCGATGGGAAATCCAAAACTGTTGAATAAGAAAACTTTACCGGAGTAAAGTCTAAATGTCAACTTACTGTAACAGCTGCAGGTACTTTAGAAGCTGTACCCTAAGATGCATAAAGCCTCAGAACAAATATTCACCTTTTCACAAACAGGCTCCCATGTGAACATAGCTGTTCCATAAGATCCAGGGTAAACAAATCCTAATGTCAAAGGATGATTACTGAGCCCACATGGTAAAAAAACAAACATCTTCAATTCAAGTAAAAAACATGGTCAATTGGGAGATTTCTGTAAATTCACAATAAACATTTGTATATTTAAACTTAAAATCTCAGAAATCTCACAAAAAATATTTGTCTTAATGAAAGTTATGAACTGGGGAAGTTTCAAGCTAATGTCTGTAGTTACATTTTTTACCCTATTCTGTTTTCTCTAAATGAGTTGTTTCTCAGACTCTGATACACAAATCTCCACTTCAGCTCTTACATACACCAAACTTTGCACTTTCATTCCTCTCTATATTCTGAAGGTTTCTACTGAGATGTTTGTTCACACATCATTCAGAGCCTCATTTATACAACATCTTATTACTAAAAACATGCAGATTTTTTTAATGGCTGTTGACAGTATTTTCTGATTTATGGAGTGAAACAAAGCGATATCCAAAATTCCCTCTGTGAAAACTTCCGACTCCAATAAGTTATCAAAAAGAAACAAGAACATTGAACCTGGCTTCATGCAATGTTCAGATTTCTGTTCAGGAAATCAGCACATATTTAATAGAACAAATGGTTGATTTGCCAAGTCAAAACAGGAGCTACTGATCTTCTTTGAGACATTAGCAAACATACCAACCCTAAGTAACTCAGGAGAGACCTTTTGCCTGCAGCTTGATTCACACATAGTAGAACTCCCGGGCAACAAAGGAAGACAAAGACAAGATTGCGCACAGCTCAACGTGTTGCTGTGGAAAACACACGGCCTTAACACTGTAGGGCACAATGTCTCTGATTTCATCCAGGTATGTTTCTGTTGGTCTGACGTTAGGAGGTGTACGGGTTTGAATTTGCTTCCTGCACCATAAACATGTCTGAAATAGCTTCAGAAAGCGAGAGCCGCTAAACCTTCACTTAAAATCGAGATCTTCCCGATGGGAGTTCTGCATGTGCTTGTAGCAGCAGAGAAACTGTTGCTGCACTGCTCTCTGTCAGGCGGGCATCACCCAATGCAGGTGAGCTCAAAGGCACTTGAGTTTGCAGAATGAAGTGCAATATTTTGAGGTTTCATGTTTGAGGATTCTGAAGCTGATCTACAATAAAAACATGACAGGAACGCAAAAACGAATGCTGAATGAGTGAAATAAATGCTGATATATGAGGGGGGGAAACTGGCTTCCACCAAATCATTTCATGCCTTAAAGGGACAGTTCAACCCAAGAACGAAAACACATAATTTCCCCCTTACCTGTAGTGCTATTTATCAATCTAGATTGTTTTGGTGTGACTTGCGGAGTGTTGAGGATATCAGCCGTAGAGACTATTAACCATGAAACTGGTCTGTGGATTATCTTGAGGAACCAGCTCATGATTTTTCATAGTTTTTCAAACACCATTATATTGGAGAGAATCCCTACGGCCGATATCTCCAACACTCTGCAACTAACACCAGAACAATCTAGATTGATAACTGAAGGGTTAACAGAAACAAAATATGTATTTTTGATTTGGGGTGAACTGTCCCTTTAAAAGAATCAAGAGTGTTCCTTTAACAAGAAGATTAGAGATCATGACCTGACACCATATAGCCTAAGCCGCAGTAAAGCAACGCACAGCCCACAGCCGCACTATAAAGCCCTATAAATGGTCATGGTAACGTGATAGTGCAGCAGCAACAATAAGGCTCACTGAGGAGGACTCTTACTCTGGCGTGTTGATCCAGATGATGTCCAGGTGGCAGTAATACACACACTCCTTGTCCTTGTAAGAGTAACACGTGCACCTCTTGGAACGCCTCCTGGCGCCCGGCGGGTCGCAGGCGAAGCAGGGCTTCGCTCCACCGGTGAGGAGCAGTTTGACCGCGGCCGCCTCCACCTCCTTCCTCTCGCTCACATCTTTGCTAGATGAGGATCCTGCTGGATCATGGCAATTTGAGAAGAAATGTTAATAATAAATCAATTCATTTATTTATTTGATATATAATTTAAGATTATAAATCAGACCTCAGTACAAAGCTACAATCCTTGCGACCAATAAAGTGCTGATCCGACTGGTCGACAGGTCAAGTAGCATTGGCCATCTGATAACAGTTTCTACTGTGGATTAACTGAGGTAGGGCTGGGTGATATGGGCAAAATCAAATATCACAATATTTTTGTATCAAATACCTCGATATCGCTATTGTATAGCTGATTGTATAGTGCAGTAAGGTGGATATCATGACTAAGAGGGTAAAGGCAAATAGAAGAACAGCTCGAACATAGTTAACAGACTAAATTCAGAAGAGTAGGTAATTTTACAGTAATGCAGCCTTATAACGTTATTACGGTATCCAAAATCAAAGAGATATCTGGTCTCTTTTCACGATATTGATATGATACTGATATGTTGCCCAGCCCTTAATTGAGGTGATTTAAACAGTAAATATATCAAACAGGTCGCTGTGGGTAACTAGTCTGTGTTACACTTAGTTAAATGAGTTAAAAAGGAGAAAACCTCTTGGGCTCTTGTTACCTGACATGTGCATCTGTCATTATCTTAACAAGCTCGAGACTCAGTGATTAATCAGTTATTTGAAAATTGTAACACCTAATAGAATTATTGTCGTGCTGGTTTTATGATATTTTGTAATATGCAAACGCGAACTGTATCTGCTTCTTACTCTATGTGAACATCATTTGTGTAGAATAAACACAACAATAAAAAGACTACAGTCTCATACTACTCACCGTTTGCCAAAGACGCTGTCACCACGATGAGAAACAAAACTCCCACATCAACCGACGACACATTAGCCATCACACATGAAACATCAGAAAATGAAAATGTCAAAAAGTCCAAAGCGTCTCCCGTGAGCTCCTCAGGTCTCCTCAGAAAACATCCCGCATCAGCCGCTAACCGCCTGTAGAGATGCACTGCCGCTCCGCGTGTCTGGCGCTCACCTCACCCACACTCCGGGTTATCAGGAGCCCACAGCTCAGCGACAAGTCACCTGCAGTAGTCACGCGAGCTTCCTGTGGTGAGTTTTCAGAATAAAAGCGTCCCAGTCAAACGCCAAAGAAAAGGTTTGAGACTCGTGGGAAGGAGCTGTCCAGTTTTGCTGCAATTGACCGCTCACTTCCGGTCCATCATATGACATTAGCTGAAACCCAGACCGACAACCGACACACCCATAAGAACTCAGTGGTGGGCCTTCAGGGCCTGCAAGGCCTTCTCTGCTGGCCTAAACAGAATCACAAAGTTATAGCTATTTTATACTTTAATATTTTTCCTTAAATACACTACATGTATTATAATTTATAAAAATATTTTTCCCATCATCTTATTTTCTCATTGCACGGCTACTGTCTTCCTCAGTTGCTCTGCTTCCAGTGCAACTTGTTTTAAGTAGAGCTTTTATCCAATCAGATTTCACCTCTGTGTCTCTAGGTAAGAAGAGAGGCCTGCAGACTCACAAGTGAATCCCTTTGCAGTTTAAGTGAATGGGGACGATATTGTTGATTGTCATAGTGTTCAACCAATCAGATCTTTAGTTTGACATGTTGGGCGTATTCTTTGACGTGCCAGAGCCTGCTAGCTGGTCTACAAGTACTTGATTTGATGTGTTGGGCGGTGACGATGCCAAAATCTGCTGCCTCTGTCAAGCGGACATTTTCAGCCCTCAAACGCATTAAAATGTATTCAATAAATACAACTGGGGAGGCTCGACTGTCTTCACTGGCGTCCATGAATCGAGAAGGACTTCTTACTGGAACTAAAACGCACGGATGTACTGAACAACCGTGAGATTAAACTCTTTATTAACAAAGAAAGGAGGAACAGCAGCTAAATAGTGAACAGCAGCTCTGGTAAGTTAAATGCGTTTGTTTTTACATCTGCAGTAGCTTTAAGATGCTTGTTTATATATTATTATTTGTACAACTTGTTTTTATGAAGATTGGATTTTTGTTTGGTTTTATATGTGATAGGAACCATTGTTGCATCCAGTGTTGCTCTAGGGACATATTTAGCCGGTGCCAGTGTTGGCAACCTGGCGACTTTCTCGCTAAATCTGGTGACTTTCTAAACCCTCATGGCGACTTTTTTTGTCAAAAGCTACTAGTGACAAATCTAGCGACTTGTTCTGGTGTTATTGGAGACTTTTGTGACGTTAAAGGACTACCGTTCTACAGTTACTGTCGTGAACGAGCAGCGGGTGCTGCCCCTCCGCCGCCCCAAAGCTCACAGGTGGTAACTCGCGCAGCAGTCCCAGCTGCAGTCAGAGCAGAGAGGAGACGCACTCCCGGCGTATACTCTGCAGATAGGTGTTGGCTTAATTTTTACACGAAACAAATAATGACTGTCGCTGTGTTTCAGCTGCAGGACAGCAGTGAAGGCCCAGGTATAAAATGCACGGCCCGCCACTGTATGAACTGCAGGTAGACCAGGGTAACAAGTCTCCCTTAAGAACAATGGGCCTCAAGAACCACTGATACAAACGGATTTGTTCCTAAGAGGCGTATTTTGAATTTTCCCAAACACAATTTAGCAGTGGTCCAGACCTGTCGTAATAGTCATGTTCAATTAGTCTATTGTAACTTTTTTCACTAATGGTTACATATTTCATTACGTTGAAGCAATTTTGTGAAAAATCCAATATAAATTACACTTCATAATTATGGTGACCTTATCTTGTTTGACTCTGCAATTTGAACTATAAAATAATTCAGAACTGGCTATTGATGAAATTGTATAACACTACAATATCAACATTTCAAGCTGCAAAACAACTTGAATTATGCACTAATTAAAGGTTATTTTGTCTCTGTATATCAGGCAGCAACCTCCTGTTCTGCAGACTGAAGCTAATGCGGAAGTGTCTTAAAACGTGCATAATCTCTACTGACCAGATTTTTTTACCTCTCCTCGGGTTGCAAAAATAAGTCCAATTGCATAGAAGTCGATGAGAAATTGACTCTACTTCTCTCTTGATTTATTCCCTCAATAATAAACATTGTAAACATGAGTTTATGGTCTAAATCTCTAGTTTCAAGTCTTCTTCAATACAGCATGATGTTAATTTAGTAAATTATGGTCCATAGAGTCAAATAGACCATAAAGCAGGGTATGATTTAGGGCAGGCTTACTGTGATTGACAGGTCGCTGCCGCTAATAGAGCCGTATACGGCGACTTTAAGTCACTCCTTCGCATTCCAAATATGGTAACATTCATTGGTTGCAAAAAACAACATGGCGATGGCCGTAATCCAAGATGGCATCACCGAAATAAATCGCCAAAATCGAGGCTTCAAAACCGCAGTACACAAACCAATGGGTGACGTCACGATGATGACTACGTCCACTTCTTATAGTCTAAGCTTGTATATAATAAGGTCAGGGAGAAGTGTAACCAGGCGCGTCATGGCTAACTTACCTCTCATGGGTATGCCTTTGGAACAGAGCGGGTCTTTAGTCAGCTCCCTGATATTGGCAGACGGATGGTTCTTCACATGCATCTTGTTGCCTCACAAGTCATTTTGATCTATACTTTATTTTAAAATGTTCACATTGCTGTCACTTTAACTGCATGACACACACGCATCACCGCGGATGCTTCTAGCGTAGAATTCAAGCTAGCTAGCCACAGCAAGCTAAAGTTGCTAAAGGCTTATCGTAATAAAGTCAGCTAACTTTAGTTAGATAATAATTAAATAATGATAATAAACTTACTAATGGCTAGCTATTATGTTAGTGTGAATGTTAGATTAAGGTGTAGGAATACTTTCTCAGAAATCTAGCATTAGCATTGATGCCCATGGGGGGCTTCTTATTTAAAATAACCACAAGCTCCCCCTTAAGTTTGGGTGTCCTCTTGTGCGCACAGAGCGGCAGACTTGTGGAAGTGAGAGGACAAAAACAAACACTGTGTTCAAAGAAAGTACTGACAGCTGCTTATTCTGAGGACAGACAGGATGGATATCTGAAACATGATGCATCATTAATATAATAACATGTCAATAAAAACATCACACAGTAAGTGGTATTAGTTATAAATTTGTCTCTGCGTGAGAAAATGGACGTGTTGCGTGACACTGAGGGAAAAGCGTCTCACTGTAAAATGTGAAATTGGCATATGATAATCTAGTTTATCATCCAAGTGCCCAGATGTTGCCACCAACACAAAACCCCATCTGTCACCTGGATTGCTCTATTTACAACGGAGGTGACGCGTTAGCGTGCGCCTGTCTCAGGACCTCTAGTGCTAGCTGGAAGGCTAGCTAGATACTCATCCTCCATAATATGTAACGTTACGTGCCAGCAAACTAAGAAACAAACAGACGGGCATTGGAGGCCCGTCAGCAGTCATTCTTTCTGGCCCAGGTCTGCGCGCCCTTCCAACTTAGATCGGAGTTTTCCATCGCGTAAGTACACTTCCGTATCAGTTCGGGAGCGAAACGTTTGTCCCACGTTGATAACGTAAGAAGCGGTCTTTTCCTGTGTAACGTTACGTGCCAGCAAAATAAGAAACAAACAGACGGCCATTGGAGGCCCGTCAGCAGTCATTATTTCTGGCCCGGGTCCATCGTGTAAGTGCACTTCTGTACCAGTTCCTGGGCGAAACGTTTGTCCCACGTTGATGACGTATGAAGCGGTCCTTTCCTTTGTCCGTCTCACAAGCGGGATTTCGTTTATTGTAAACAATGAACAGATTCGGCCGGCTGCCATCGGGACATGCAACTGAAGAAAAGTACGAACAGTGGAGATCGATATGCTTGGTTAAAATGAATAATTAAATAAGTAAATGTAAACTAATAGGCAAAGCTCCTGGTTAGCTCCAGTCGTATATTTACAAACGTTTTATATACAGCCATGTTCTCCTGAAGGAGAATGTCTTTGTTTGTTTCTTACATGAATTAATGGCTGAGATGTTTGTATTTAACAGTATATTGTTTGCATCTTGCAATAAATATTAATATGTTTTTGATCACTTTGTGTTGTGTCTATTTGCCTGTTCTGTTCAAAAACTGTGTTTTGAGGCACTGCTGGCCTTTCAATGTCATTTATAAATGCTTTGCAAGGCATAAATAGTCCTCACTTTAGATGAGGTCACACAAAATACTTAATAAATGCTTTATAAGGCATAAATAGTCCTCACTTTAGATGAGGTCACATAAAACACTTTACTAATGAGTAGTAACTACCTTAATAAATCATGAATTAATCATGAATTGCAGTATTAATATGCATTTATAAAGCATATATTAACATAGTCCCTAACCATAATATATATAAATGCATGAATAATGTACATCTAAATAGTTATTAATCATTTATTAACACTTTATAAATAATCTTCTTAATCATCTACAACTCCTTAATAATTGGTTTGTAAAATATATAATACTTCATTTACAAATGGGGAATCCATCATTTATAAAGTATGAAAACACAATAATGAAACACATAATAGACAGGCTTATTAATCAAGAATAAAACATTTACAACTGTTGTTATGAACTGCATACTAATGAATTATTAATGTAGGAACAATGCTTTATAAATGATGAATTAAGTGTTTACTCATACTTAACTAATGCTTCATAGTGTGTAGTTATTATAAAGTGCTACCGTATATTCTTTACTCTATTCACCAAAATGTATGTTATCTTACAAAATCTTTAAGGGCCGAGTTCTTTCTCAGATTCTGATCCAGAAATCTCCACTTCAGTAGCTCTCTTATACACCAACTTTGGGTCACTGACATGACATGCATATTTTTGTGTCCGAGTCCATTATTTCCTTTAAAAGTAATTGTATCAATTCATGACATATATCATTTCATTCTATAAAACCTATCCAGTTTTGATATATTTTCAAAACATAAAATAATATATATTATTTTATGTTTTGGCTCCTCAAACCCTGAAAATGTCAGGTGGTGCACCCATCC